ATGCGTTATTTGTTGTTTTGTTTTTTTTTAAACGTAGAAAACCAAGTCATGATCTCAACTCACGAAAACAATCAGTGTTGGAAGCCATTGCTTTGGGCCCATACAAGGGAGGTTACTTTAAATACTCTAAAAATTGTGTCGTTTCTTGAAAACTGTTGTAATAATCAACACTTGTATGTTTGTGGAAGACTTTTTTTTACAAAGTCGATGTATTTTTCTGTAATTAATATTTTAGGTAAAAAATATATTTAACAGAAAGCTAAAGCAATTTTTTCTAGGGAACATGGTAATCTAATATAAATAAAAACAAACTAGCCACAAAAAGGTCACACTGTCTTTCAGTAGTTGACCCTGTATATCCTTAATTTATCGGAAGGGTAGCAGGTGCCCTATATAGTTATAGAACTAAATTAACAACGGTTCCGATAAGAATGTAATTATATCTAATTTAGATATAAGCCAATCAAAGTTAGCAATATCATAGCAACAGGGATAGTACCGATACCGTCGCATGGTAATGTCGGGAATTCAAAAGTAAACAGACAAAGTAACTTCTAAGTGGGAAAAAATGTTCAAGTTTTCTGCATTTGTAAAAAAAATTCAAAGATTTTAAAATATAAATATACAATATCTTTATATTCTAAATTTTTAGAATTCTTTAAACGAGTAAGACAACAAGGCGACGAAATGTACCCAAAAAAAAAGTTTTCCGTCCTTGTCTGCCGGAATGATCAGGCCCTTCTTAGATAACCAGGTCGGTGCCGTTGACTATTATAACTAACACTAGCCATCGGTACCCGTTAAACGTGAATTATAGGCCTATATATTTTAATGGTATACTCGTTTGAGAAAAATATTTTATAAAATAGTTTTTGGTCAAAACGCAACGTGCTTTACTACACGTTGAACGACATTAGTGACAAAGCAAAGAAATAACTACCAATTATATACATTATTAGTCAACACAGCACCATATTAAATGCACACACTGATTAAGAGACTTAAATGATTCCGTTAAAAACCCAGATATTCAATGGTATCTATGTTGTTTTTTAAAGTAATTTGTATTACTTTTGGCCTAAAAAATTGTATGCATTTTATAGCGTACGTCTTGATAAGTAGATCTATAGATTTAAATCAAATTTGAATTAAATAGTTCATTTCTTCATTTTATAAAATTAGAAGATGAAGCCATTTCTTTTGTGTACTTTCCGTAGTTTAAGCATGTGACATGTGGCGTCATTGTTTTTTGCGTTATTGTCACAACAATAAACACTTTTCCGGCTGCATAGTTAAAAATGTGTTTCTACATTCGAATATTCCTTTATTTTAATTTTCCATCTTTAAATAAAATTCAGTTTATGTATTTAAAACATCCAACATATTATTTTCAACAAACGTCCATATCTTTAAGTTCTCCGTATATCGCTGAACATACTGATCACATAGCCTCGAAAATGTTGCGGAAAGAGAGAGAGAGAGAGAGAAAGAGAGAGAGAAAGAGGGAGAGACAGAAAAAGAGAGAGAGAAAGAGAGAGAGAGAAGTGCACACATGGGCTTATATATATTAGGATAATAAAATCGTATTTTATTTCTTATTTTAATGAATTAAGAATATTTTTAAAAATAAAGTGAGAGTGATCTCCCCTAAATTTTCTCGTACATAGTAATGTAAAAGTGAGTGTTGATTTAAAAAATACATATTTAAACTTACTGCGATTCCTGTGGCTTTGACTCTAAACACAACGCCTACATCTGACCAAGTGGGTGTGAAGCTAAACACAACGCTGACCAAGTGGTAGAGAGCTAACGTCCACTAGCTGCCCACCTGATTGTGTTCGATTGACGGACACCTTGCATCGATAACCTGACCACGTGACTCCTTAATATAGAATAACAGCTGACGGAATGAGCGGTGACAGTTCCGATATTTATAAATCAAATTCTGCCCCTGCCGCCACTCGGCTGAGACTTCAAGGAACAACTGGGGACGTCTGGCGTCTAAAGAGGGCTGGCTGGTGGTGCCTAGACAAGACTGGTCGCGGGGCGAGGGGGGAGGAGAGGCTCGGTGTACAACTCATGAGGGGGTGGGGGAGGAGGGAGAGTAGAGGGGTGTATACCTCATGAGGGGGTGGGAGGGAGGAGGGAGAGTAGAGGGGTGTACACCTCATGAGGGGTGGGAGGGAGAGTAGAGGGGCGTACACCTCATGAGGGAGTGGGAGGGAGGAGGGAGAGTAGAGGGGTGTACACCTCATGAGGGGTGGGAGGGAGAGTAGAGGGGCGTACACCTCATGAGGGAGTGGGAGGGAGGAGGGAGAGTAGAGGGGTGTACACCTCATGAGGGGGTGGGAGGGAGGAGGGAGAGCAGAGGGGTGTACACCTCATGAGGGGGTGGGAGGGAGGAGGGAGAGTAGAGGGGTGTACACCTCAGGAGGGGTGGGAGGGAAGAGGGAGAGTATAGGGGTGTACACCTCATGAGGGGGTGGGAGGGAGAGTAGAGGGGTGTACACCTCATGAGGGGGTGGGAGGGAGGAGGGAGAGTAGAGGGGTGTACACCTCAGGAGGGGTGGGAGGGAAGAGGGAGAGTATAGGGGTGTACACCTCATGAGGGGGTGGGAGGGAAGAGGGAGGAGGGAGAGTATAGGGGTGTACACCTCAGGAGGGGTCGGAGGGAGGAGGGAGAGTAGAGGGGTGAGTAGAGGGGTGTACACCTCATGAGGGGGAGGGAAGAGGGAGAGTATAGGGGTGTACACCTCATGAGGGAGTGGGAGGGAGGAGGGAGAGTAGAGGGGTGTACACCTCATGAGGGGGTGGGAGGGAGGAGGGAGAGTAGAGGGGTGTACACCTCATGAGGGGGTGGGAGGGAGGAGGGAGAGTAGAGGGGTGAACACCTCATGAGGGGTTGGGAGGGAGGAGGGAGAGTAGAGGGGTGTACACCTCATGAGGGGGTGGGAGGGAGGAGGGAGAGTAGAGGGGTGTATATCTCATGAGGAGGTGGGAGGGAGGAGGGAGAGTAGAGGGGTGTACACCTCATGAGGGGGTGGGAGGGAGGAGGGAGAGTAGAGGGGTGTACACCTCATGAGGGGGTGGGAGGGAGGAGGGAGAGTAGAGGGGTGTACACCTCATGAGGGGGTGGGAGGGAAGAGGGAGGAGGGAGAGTATAGGGGTGTACACCTCAGGAGGGGATGGGAGGGAAGAGGGAGGAGGGAGAGTATAGGAGTGTACACCTCATGAGGAGGTGGGAGGGAGGAGGGAGAGTAGAGGCTGCCTGTACACTCGTGGAAAGGATGAGAATGAGGAAGGAGGGGTTGCATGAAGAGGTTGCAAGGTGTTGCAAGGAGGTGTTTGCAAGGAGGGGTTGCAAGGAGGGGTTGCAAGGAGGGGCTGCAAGGAGGGGTTGATTGTACCCCCATGGTTGATCTGGGAGAGAGGAAGAGAGAAGAGGATCAGACTTGATACTGTGTGGGATTAAAGGGGAAGAAAATTATTGGTATTTGGGGAGGGAGGGGGAAAGCTGAGGCGTAGCGACCCTTCCCGTCGCCCGGGAACGAACTTTCAATCTTCAATTTGCATCCCCCCCCCCTCAAACGTTCGATTTGCACCCCCCTCCCCTCCCCCCTCAAACTTTTGATTTGCAACCCACCCCACATATTTCTTATATTTCTAATACAAAAATACAGCTGAAATAAGATTTTAATTTGTTTTTCCAACCTATTTTGGCGCCCCTAAGGTCGGCGCCCGGAACATATGTACCCTCACCCCCCCCCCCCCTCTCGCTACGCCTCTGGGGGAAAGTGATGAGTTGGTCTTGAATTAACATGTGCAGCGGAGTGGGAGGGGGGGGGGGAGACGGAGGGGGAAAGTTGTGGATATTCAAAGAAGTCATGCGTGTAGGAGTAATGGAAAGAATTACTGAGAGAGTGAATGAGGGAGTTATCATTCATGTCCTGATATATGGTTGGAGAGGATGAGCCTACACAGGATGTTGATTGGCAGCCATTTTTTTATCAACACAGCATCATACAAACTTTTAATACCGAGTTATGATCAGATTTATTTGAAAAGGCTTCAGGCAATCTTCTGCTAAAATACCGTAGTTAGATAATGAAAAGACTCAATCAAATTGACAGTTTAGATTTTTTGGTTTATTTTTGTGAAATCTTGTTTCAATAAAGCAGTTTTTAGAGAGACTTAATCTACGTTAAGGAGCAGCGAAAATAAAATTGTGATAAAGGTATCTTTATGGGCGTAATATTTCTACTAGCATGACTGTTTTAATCACTTTGTTACTGTGGTACAGCAACAATCGCTCAGACATTTGGTACACTCACCATCGCTGCTTCATCATTGTGGTAATCACACCATCGCTGCTTCATCATTGTGGTAATCACACCATCGCTGCTTCATCATTGTGGTAATCACACCATCGCTGCTTCATCATTGTGGTAATCACACAATCGCTGCTTCATCATTGTGGTAATCACACAATCGCTGCTTCATCATTGTGGTACTTACAGCAATTGCCTTAGCATTATGGTACTCGCCCAATCGCTTTAGCACTATGGTACTCACACAATAGCCTTAGCACTATAGTACTTCTACAATCGATTTAGCAAAGCGACACACATCACTTACCTCAACGGAACGGGCACTACAAAAATATGACCCCATCCTACATTTAACAATTGCATATACCCTACACCAAAAATACGGTGATGTGTCCGGCAAAGTGTCCGGTGATGTGTCCGGTTAGACGTTCTGGGCTATGTTCTAAAAGTGCCAGTAAAGTGTCCGGTAAAGTGTCCGGTAAAGTGTCCGGTAAAGTGTCCGGTAAAGTGTACGGTAAAGTGTCCGATAAAGTATCCGGTAAAATGTCCGGTAAAGTGACCTAAAAGTGCTGATGCTGTGTCCGGTAAAGTGTCCGGTAAAGTGTCTGGTCCTATGTCCGGTAAAATGTCTGATAAAGTGTCCGGTAAAGTGTCCGGTAAAATGTCCGTAAAATGTCCGGTAACGTGTCCGGTAAAGTGTCCGGTAAAGTGTCCGGTAAAGTGTCCGGTAAAGTGTCCGGTAAAGTGTCCGGTAAAGTGTCCGGTAAAGTGTCCGGTAAAGTGTCCGGTAAAGTGTCCGGTAAAGTGTCCGGTAAAGTGTCCGGTAAAGTGTCCGGGAAAGTGTCTGGTCCTATGTCCGGTACAATGTCTGGTAAAGTGTCCGGTAAAGTGTCCGGTAAAGTGTCCGGTAAAGTGTCCGGTAAAGTGTCCGGTAAAGTGTCCGGTAAAGTGTCCGGGAAAGTGTCCGGTAAAGTGTCCGGGAAAGTGTCCGGGAAAGTGTCCGGTAAAGTGTCCGGTAAAGTGTCCGGTAAAGTGTCTGGTAAATTGTCCGGTAAATTGTCCGGAAAAATATCCGGTAAAATCTCCGGTAAAGTGTCCGGTAAAGTGCCCAGTAAAGTGTCCGGTAAAGTGTCCTAAAAGTGCCGGTAAAGTGTCCGGTAAAGTGTCCGGTAAAGTGTCCGGTAAAGTGTCCGGTAAAGTGTCCGGTAAAGTGTCCGGTAAAGTGTCCGGTAAAGTGTCCGGTAAAGTGTCCGGTAAAGTGTCCGGTAAAGTGTCCGGTAAAGTGTCCGGTAAAGTGTCCGGTAAAGTGTCCGGTAAAGTGTCCGGTAAAGTGTCCGGTAAAGTGTCCGGTAAAGTGACCTAAAAGTGCTGATGCTGTGTCCGGTAAAGTGTCCGGTAAAGTGTCTGGTCCTATGTCCGGTAAAATGTCTGATAAAGTGTCCGGTAAAGTGTCCGGTAAAATGTCCGTAAAAATGTCCGGTAACGTGTCCGGTAAAGTGTCCGGTAAAGTGTCCGGTAAAGTGTCCGGTAAAGTGTCCGGTAAAGTGTCCGGTAAAGTGTCCGGTAAAGTGTCCGGTAAAGTGTCCGGTAAAGTGTCCGGTAAAGTGTCCGGGAAAGTGTCCGGTAAAGTGTCTGGTGCTATGTCCGGTACAATGTCTGGTAAAGTGTCCAGTAAAGTGTCCGGTAAAGTGTCCGGTAAAGTGTCCGGTAAAGTGTCCGGTAAAGTGTCCGGTAAAGTGTCCGGTAAAGTGTCCGGTAAAGTGTCCGGGAAAGTGTCCGGGAAAGTGTCCGGGAAAGTGTCCGGTAAAGTGTCCGGTAAAGTGTCTGGTAAATTGTCCGGTAAATTGTCCGGAAAAATATCCGGTAAAATCTCCGGTAAAGTGTCCGGTAAAGTGCCCAGTAAAGTGTCCGGTAATGTGTCCTAAAAGTGCCGGTAAAGTGTCCGGTAAAGTGTCCGGTAAAGTGTCCGGTAAAGTGTCCGGTAAAGTGTCCGGTAAAGTGTCCGGTAAAGTGTCCGGTAAAGTGTCCGGTAAAGTGTCCGGTAAAGTGTCCGGTAAAGTGTCCGGTAAAGTGTCCGGTAAAGTGTCCGGTAAAGTGTCCGGGAAAGTGTCCGGTAAAGTGTCCGGTAAAGTGTCCGGTAAAGTGTCCGGTAAAGTGTCCGGTAAAGTGTCCGGTATAATGTCTGGTGCTGTGTCCGGTAAAGTGTCCGGTAAATTGTCCGGTAAAGTGTCCGGTAAAGTGTCCGGTATAATGTCTGTTGCTGTGTCCGGTAAAGTGTCCGGTAAATTGTCCGGTACACCCATGTTAACATGTCTAACACAAGACAGATCGCGTGTATGCACCTAGTCCAGACCGACTCTGCCCATTCTCCCTCCCCCCCCCCCCCCCCCCCCCCCACCCCTCATGTGTAATTGATGCTCGTGCATGGCGATCGTATCTCTGGGCAGCTGTGAAATGGAACATCCGGTGTGAAATCAGGCAGACGACATTCCCCTTGTCAGGTGCAGGCAAACGTGGGCAGACGATCAGCTTCATGTAAGGTGGGCAGACGATCAGCTTCATGTAAGATGGGCAGACGGTCAGCTTCATGTAAGGTGGGCAGACGATCAGCTTCATGTAAGGTAGGCAGACGATCAACTTCATGTAAAGTGGGCAGACGATCAGCTTCATGTAAGGTGGGCAGACGATCAACTTTATGTAAGGTGGGCAGACGATCAGCTTCATGTAAGGTGGGCAGACGATCAGCTTCATGTAAGGTTTGCAGACGATCAGCTTCATGTGGGCAGACGATCAGCTTCATGTAAGGTGGGCAGACGATCAGCTTCATGTAAGGTGGGCAGACGATCAACTTCATGTAAGGTGGGCAGACGATCAGCTTCATGTAAGGTGGGCAGACGATCAACTTCATGTAAGGTGGGCAGACGATCAACTTCATGTAAGGTGGGCAGACGATCAGCTTCATGTAAGGTGGGCAGACGATCAACTTCATGTAAGGTGGGCAGACGATCAGCTTCATGTAAGGTGGGCAGACGATCACCTTTATGTGGGCAGACGATCAGCTTCATGTAAGGTGGGCAGACGATCAACTTCATGTAAGGTGGGCAGACGATCAGCTTCATGTAAGGTGGGCAGACGATCACCTTTATGTGGGCAGACGATCAGCTTCATGTAAGGTGGGCAGACGATCAACTTCATGTGAAGATGGGCAGACGATCAGCTTCATGTAAGGTGGGCAGACGGTCAGCTTCATGTATGGTGGGCAGACGATCAGCTTCATGGTGGGCAGACGATCAGCTTCATGTAAGGTGGGCAGACGATCAGCTTCATGTAAGGTGGGCAGACGATCAGCTTCATGTAAGGTGGGCAGACGATCAGCTTCATGTAAGGTGGGCAGACGATCAGCTTCATGTAAGGTGGGCAGACGATCAGCTTCATGTAAGGTGGGCAGACGATCAGCTTCATGTGAAGATTGTCATGTCTTGACGCCATTGCGTGAGGTTTTTGTGTCACATTATTATGTGCGGTATTTGGTTTCACCAAGCGGTGGGTGAGGTATGGATAGCGTCACCTTGTGATGTCGTGTCACCTAATCATGTGATGCGTGTATAGTATCACCTTGTGATATTGTGCCACCTAATCATATGTGATGTCTGTTTAGTATCACCTAGTGATGTGTCACCTAATCATATGTGATGCGTGTATAGTATCACCTAATGATGTGTCACCTAATCATATGTGATGCGTGTATAGTATCACCTAATGATGTGTCACCTAATCATATGTGATGCGTGTATAGTATCACCTTATTATGTCGTGTCACCTAATCATATATGACGTGTGGCCTCAACTAGCGTTGTGTCTAGTCAAGTATCACCTTCCATCCCGGGGCACGGGATTCTGATAATCTTCCTCCTCCACACGACTGAGTCATTAAAACGTCCTACACACATCTGAACAAACGTCCCTACCAGACGGCCAGCTGGGTAAGGAAACTCGTTCAAAGACCACCTTTGTCACCGGAACCTGATGTTGATGTAGGTTATGCAAGCGTGAAACCACGTGACCCGTTGAATCTGATTTGATGAATTGATTTTTCCCGTGACCGCACGAGAAACATTTACATATCCGGGTCTTTTTTTCCCTCACTCATTCTCGTTCTTTCTTTCACTTCCGGTAGTTTTCTCTCCTCGTGACGTGTCATCATTCCATCATAAAGTCCGATACACGCACTTTTATCGATTACTACGGTATCGATGTCACGGCTGAAATCGATCCACGAATGGATGAACCGGAAGTAGGTTTTTTTTCGGGTAGGCGGTTTAGAAAGTTGAGGACTAGCATTACAACAAAAATAGCAGCCCTGAATGGCTGGACACGAATTCTCGGGAAGTTCTCGTGGAAAATGTGAAGTTACGTGAAACGGAAGTGGGAGGTGGATGTGGCAGACAAAGAAAATTGTGAAACTCCAATGACACAGCAAATGCCATTGTAGGGTAATATCCTGATGCATGAATCTGTGAGTTTTTTATATGGCGTAACCAGGATTTTAAAAACTGTTGTGGTGATGTAAGCATATGTAGGCCCTATATATATGACGAATTAGATATTGGTTGCCGATGCTATAGTTCGCAAAAATGTTGGTTTCAGATATTGAATTCACGTTCCCCCATCGTGAAACTATCCGTTAGACCGATTATATGTTAAGCCGACTATTTATAATGCCGACTATCTGTTAGGCCGACTATCTTTTAGGTCGACTGTTTGCAATAAACGTGCGCTGAAAATACAACGTTTAAAAAATATGATTGTGTGATTTTTGTCATTAAATACTAGAGTGACTCTTTAGAAAATCAACAATTTGTAATTTTTGTGCAAGTTGGGGAAAGAACTGATTTCATCCTTTGTGTTGTTTTAGTGCGATCTACTGCTATAAATATCTGTCGTTAAGTTACTGTTAACTTATTCGCTATCTTCTGTTGTCGTATTTATCGTCTGTTGTGGTATTGAACATGTGTTATCTTAGGGGTCGTCCATAAATGACGACACACTCGTAGGGGGGAGGGGGGTCCTTAATTTTGTGACGGTGTGTGATGAGGAGGAAAGGGGGGGGGGGGGGGGGGGGGTTCAGATGGTGTGACGTCACTTTTTTTGCATTATTAAAAAGCAATGTTAAATAAACCGGGAGTGATCTCCCCTAAACTTTCTCGAATATTCTTATATAAAATAACAGGGGATGGGAACTCGGGCTATAGACATGATTTTTAATCCATTTTAAATACTTAAAGTTTTAAAAATAGAATAAAATCTCGTAGACAAATTAATTGCACACCAAGTGAACGCCAAATAAAAAAGCGCATAATGGTGCGCAATATTATTAGTACTTTTAAAATTTACATTAGTTTTTTGAGAAATCGGAAGTAGCGTAAATTACTACTTCCAGTCAACGGAAATTACTCAAAATTTAACAGAAGGTAGAGAATTAGATCTTTTACTTACATTTGAAATTTCATTTGTCTATCTGAAATAGTACTCAAGTTATAGGCTTTTGAAAAATTCAAAGTAGGAAAAGTACCACTTCCGGTTATCGGAAATCGCTCAAAAGTTGATACGGATCTACGATTTTGATAAAATACTTATATATGAAATTTCATCAACGTAGCTGTAACGGTACTCAAGTTATCGTGTTTACACACGGACAGACAGACACACAGACACACAGACACACAGACAGACACACAGACATACGGACAAGATTGCAAAATTATGTTTTTCCGTATCAGTGAGGTGTAAAACGTCGAGATTTGTAAAAATCTCGATTTTTTTTTTTGCACGATTACAAGACTTTCTCTATACTTCGTATATACGAGAAAGTAAAAACGAGTTTAGTCGATATGCCGCGTTTTAGAAAACGGTTTTAATAAATTGTAATAGGAATTGATCAAAATACTATGTTGACTGAGTTCTGACAAGATTTTGGGAAAAAATATCGATGTTTTAAGAAAAATTCAACAGCAATTTTGAGGGGGGGGGGGGGGGTTGTAGGCTGAGGTGGGACGTCATTTTTTTTTGGGGGGGGGGGGGTCTGGCTTTTTGTGACGACGTGTGACGGAGGGGAGGGGGTAAAATCGTCAAAAAAAGGCGTGACGTCATTTATGGATGACCCCCTTATTATAAAATTGTTCTTATCTCATCAGTTATGTGTTGCCCTCATGTTGACTTAGGTGTGAGTTAACTTTTCCAAAGGCTCAGACAATTTACTCTCCAGGACTTTATGTAACTGTTATATCACAAAAATGTCTATGTTTATTACAGTAACACCATATCAAACAGTTCTATATTTATTACAGTAACACCATATCAAACAATTCTATATTTTATTATAGTAACACCATATAACACAATTCTGTATTTTATTACCGTTCTGACTCTATATTAAAAAAAACTTTCTATATTATATTACAGTAAGACTATATCACGAAATCTATATCACAAAGGAAGAAATTGTGTTACTATGACTTGGTATAACTTTATCATTGTGTCACTATCACAAATCTTTATAATGTCAATGAGACTTTATCACAAAACTGTATATTTTGTTAATATCCCTCTATAAACTTTCTCGATTCTGCTTCAGCTCATCATAAAGCGCTGACCCCTGAACTTTATCTTGTCAGTCTACCCTGTCTGTAATAACACAATTGTTTGTTGTTTTGTTTGTTTGTTGTTTTGTTTTTGTCGAGTGCTGCTTATCACGTTTTATATAGGCCTATAGCTCTAAGGGATAATGTTATTTTAAAAACGAAAACTAAAGTATCTAAATCAATAAAGGCCCCACTCATATGTAATTGGTTTTTTTTTATTAACTTTGTCTTCATTTTTTTAACTGTTTTTTTTTTTATTGGTTGCATTTAAAATCAAAATTTAGGTAATACCTGCCATGGGTTTATATTAAAGCCAATGTGGAGCTAAGAAATATGCGTTATAAATCGTTGTATATAACACGCTGCCGTTGTGTCGGGTTCTATAAATTGGATGGCATTTATTTAACGGTCATTCGGTAAAAGAAGAAAAAAAAGCAATAAAGAAAGCCTAACTCAGCTTCGAGATGACGATGAAAAGAAACTCAGATATTAAAAAGCCTAACCAGGCTACAGAACTGGGTCGATAGCGTGTTGCAGAAAATTATGGAACTCGATTTTTAAAAACCTAAGAATAATAGACTTTGACGAATGGGTAGCTTTGACAAGCCAATCGGGTTTGTTATGTGTTAGATTTTACTACACTTGAGGTTCATTTTAGCTTTTTAATATCCAATAATGTATTAAATCCTTCTACGTTGGTTTTGAAACGCGAGAACCAAACTATAACAAAAATGTTTTGGTACCGGATGGAGAATGAAAGTACAGAAACAGCTGGACTCTACTCCACCTGCTGTAGTGTAATCAGATGAGGTCAGATGTCGCATCAGAGTTGTGCGGTTCCAGGGTGTTTTACTGCCACTGTAGAAGTGTGAGCAACATTTCAACTCACGCGCGTCAGTTATATGAAGCTCAAGACTGCTAAGTAAATTCTGGACATTACAACAAAAACGTTGAGGTCATTCTCTCAGCTTTACGACAAAACGGAGCCCAAAAAAATAGTTTGAAGTATTTTACTGCGCTCTTAAAAAGCAAAATTTATTTCCCATCAATCTTGCGTCACTTCAAATTGGAGGGCGCAAAAGTTTTTAAAAATTTTATTAAACAAAATATCAGCTACGTTGATGGCAATAAATAAATGGCCGACTAAAGCTGTAATCAAAGGTGATTATTTCAGGGAACTTGACTTCTCTTTACCGGAAGCGTCGCCTATGGAAGATTTAGAACCGGGGATTCCCGATTCTAAATCCCCCAGGCTATTCGTGTTGGATACCGCTAGGGGGCGGTGATTGTTGCTAGGTGCACTTACCCAGTCTTTTACTTTACTTTTAGGTTTGATTGCCACACTGCAATTTGTAGCTTCTACAGCCACTAAATA